CCTGTTTCAGTTGTTTTCCTTGTTGGTTGGTTGCTTATATTGTTATTTCAAACTTTGCAAGCTAAACAGATTGAGAAAAAAGATTTTTAGACATTTTAAATGTTTCATTATTTATTTATCTTGTTTTAGGTAAGAAGCATCAGTCTGCTACAAAGCCTGTTGTTTCTTTATTAATGGAAAAGAGTTGCATGCTGAACCATTTAGAAGTGAAGAAAAAATATCCACATTTTTCACCAAAAACAAGCAACTATTGTCTCTTTAATTAAATCATCGTTATCAACTAATGCTGAGATCATATGGGCCCTGAAATCTACAATGAGCTGCTACTTTAATAACTCATGTGCAAATTTAAACGACACTTTTAAAAAGATGTTTCCTAATAGCAAGGTAGCAGAAGATTTCACTATGAGCACCTCAAAAGTATCATACATTGTTAACCATGGACTATCCCCATACTTCAAGACACTTTTAAAAGAAGAAATCACAAAGTCTTTGATTGTTACATTGTATCTTTTGATGAGAGTTTAAACGACATAACCCAAACTTGTCAGATGGATCCACTTGTTCGGTATTGGGATGGCAATGACAAAGTTAAAGTGAGATATTGGACATCAGCATTTCTTGGTCATTCTGCAGCTTCTGACCTTCTTACACATTTCAACGAAAACTTATCAAGACTTGATTCAAGTAAAATGTATCAAGTTTCCATGGATGGGCCCTCTACAAATCTGAAATTTCTAGATGATCTTAATAAACGCAGAAAGGACAACGAGATGCCACAACTTATAAATATTGGAAGTTGCTCTTTGCATGTAATCCATGGTGCTTTCAAAACAGCTATCGAATCAACAACATGGAATATTAAAGAAACTTTAAAAGGGTGTTGGCAAGTTCTTCATGATAGCTCAGCTAGACGTCAAGATTATGAAACAGTCACAGGTGCAACAAAATACCCTCTTTTTTTTTGTGGAACAAGATGGGTTGAAAGTAAATCTGTTGCATTGAAATCTGGCCTAATATATGTAAGTTGATTGAGTTTAGGGAAAAGTTACCATCTTCGAAACAACCTAAATCAAAAAGCTTTTTAAATGTAAAAAAGGTTGTTAAAGACAAACTTATTATTTTAAAATTTGAAGTTTTCAGCTTTGTTGCAAGCATATTAGAGCCATATTTGTTGGCATACCAAACTGACAAACCAATGATTCCATTCATGTATTGTAACTTAGAAAGACTGTTACGAACCATACTGAGCTTGTTTGTGAAACAAGATGTTATTGATAATAGTTGTATTTCAGTCCAACTAAAAGAAGTTGATTTTCATAAAAAAGATAATCTACTTAAAGGAAATCAAATCAAACTAGGGTTCGCAGCTGAAACAAGACTGGCTGCTTTACGAAAGAAAAATATAATAACCATTGCTGATATTCAAAGTTTTCACAAAGATTGCACTAACATGTATGTTCGATTGATTGAAAAGTTCATGGACCGAACTCCACTAGGATCTATCATTGTACGCAACTCTCAGGTTCTTAACCCAAATGCAATGGTAGTAATGACTTAAGAAGATGCCGAGAAGAAGTATAAATCTTTATTGACCCACTTGATTAGCTTGAAATATGTTTCACCAATCTTTTCTGATAAAGCTATAAATCAATTTGCAGATTTCTTTTGAGAATCAAGGGTTTATCAAGACATCTTTCATGAATTCAATCAAGAAAGAGATAGCTTAGTCGACTTCTTTTTAAAAAAATTTAACCTAAATAAATATAAAGAGTTTGCATTGACTGTTATAATATTATTAACACTAAACCATGGACAAGCCTCAGTTGAGCGAGGTTTTAGTTTAAATGCCACAGTACTTGAACAGAATTTAAATGAAAAATCAATAACTGCAAGACGTTTAGTCAAAGATCATATACTATCAAATAATCTTCAGCCACATAGTATTGAAATTACAAGCAAAATGATCATTATCATAAAATCGGCACACGAAAGATATAGAAGCTACCTAAATTCAATCGCAGACACTAACAAAAAAGAAGCAAGTCAATTGGCAAAAAAAGTTGTTAGCGATGAAATAAAAGATGTTGAAACGAGGCAAGATCAACTGAAGAAAACCAGTGAAATGTTGCAGTTTGATTTTGTAAAATTTGTTGAGGAAGCAGAGGAGAAGCAAGATCTAGGATTAATTTCTAAAGCTAATGCAATGAAACAAAAAGCAAATGAAAAAAATGAAGAAATAAAGAAATTAGAGCTAGCACTTTGCATCTGAGAGCAAAAAAGAAAGTTGCTAAAATAATATATTCGTTCTCACATGAAGTTTATATTTTGTTAACAAAACACATTAGTTTTTTCAAAACATATATAAATTGTTATTTTTTTAATATATTTCTTTTAGTTATCAGATTAATATGGCTCTGTTTCTTGTTTAAAACACCTTTAACGGATTGCTATAAATTAATTAAAAAGTCTCTGACTTCTTAGAAAATAGTGATAAAAAGTATTTAGGGAACAAGGATTCAGTTGCAAAAGTATTATATTTTTCAACATTGATAGGCAAAATATTTAGACTTTTCACCGCACAAACTCAGGGAAAAAATACTTGAAAATCAGGGAAAATGGTTTTTCAAAACTGCCATGAACCCTGTATTAGCTTTAAATGAACAAGTGAAGATGTTCATATAACAGGCATTTTTTCTTTTTCTGGTATTCAAAGTTCTCAAAATGATCAGCAAATTAACATTGATGCCTTGAAATTTGGTGAATTCATTATGTGTAAATATGATTCGTTTGATTGGATTGGTATGATCAATGAAATTGAAAATATGGAGCAAGACGTTATGGTAATGTTTATGCACCCGCACGGTCCTTTTAATAAACTTTTCTGGCCATCTAGAGTAGATGAGTGTTGGGTTCCAATTACCAACATAACTTGTATAATTGATGCACCTGTAACAACAAATGGATGTTTGTATACTTTGACCGTTGATGCATCTAAGCTAATCTTAACATTATCTTTACAGTTTCTTTTTTTTGTATTTTATTTTGTAAATAATGAAGTAAAACGGAACAAGTATAAAGCAATAAAATTTTTAAATATAATATTTTCAAAGTTATCTTAAATTTAAGACACATTTACGTGTTTTAAAAAAAAAAAAATTTTTTTGAGAAAATAAGTGGGACATGGTTCCCGGTGCCCCAGGACCTTCTGGTCGTCTGACCTGAAACAATTTTAAAGCATGTTCATCAGGACTGCACGAATGCTGAAAGTTTCAAAGCTCCAGCTTGTCTGGAAGATACTGAAAAATCCATCTCAAGATTCCGGTCAAACAAGTGGGTACATCCCTTCAGCCCCCTCCCCTATTATCTTTGGCCCTTTTTTATTTTAAAATGCACGTTTATTGACACTATATAAATACCAAAATGTTCATCGCTCCAGCTAGTCTGAAAGGTAGTGAAAAATGTATGCCAAGATTCCGCTACAAAATAGTGGGGCCTGTGCCCGTTATCCATATATGGAAATCCATATACTTGCAGATCAAAATCCTTATATTTTCTGAAAGATCATTAAACATAGAATGATGTGTACAATTTTTTTTTTATATCATCAAGGCCGCATGGCTTTTTAAGCATCAAAATCAGGTATATAAAAAATTGCCTAAATTTATTCAAATTGATAATTACAGGTACTTAAATATATTTTTTTAACATTTCTGATTATTTCATTGGATTCTTCAACCCTGAAAATAGCCAGGTACAAGTTTTCAAGTCAAAAGATCAAATATTTTTAAAGCTATGTGACTTGGACTATGTGACTTTTTAAAGCTATGTGACCTTTAAACAAAGGTCACACTTCTGAGGGGACAAGAGGGGCCTGGCCAAGATCAGTTAAAAGTAAAATGAACATATTTCATGATCCTCTTGGAGCTAAAAGCTAAAATTTTTAAAGATTTCTTGTTTTACTAAGTACTCTCAACTGCATAAAAATCAGCAAAATCTGAGATGTATGGTGACATGGCCTGGCTCAATTGACATGGAATTACCTCCTAATTAAAATGTTTTAAATTGTGAAATTAATATTTATTTTGATATTTGTAAGTAAATATATTTGGCATAAAAGTTTTGCTTTAAAGTCTTTAACAGTTACCAAATTAATTATTAACTTTAAGTTAATAATTAATTTGGTAATTATGCTCTGTGTATAGCACTTTTTAAGGCATTTTTACTGTCAAAAATCTATAAAATCAAATCTGCAAGCTTTATAAATCTCTCAAATTTTGTGAGTAATTTTATTTCAACTGCCTACAACTACATTTACAAGCAACATTATATATATTACATATATTTTGTGTAAATATTATTACCTAAGATTTAATTGCATAAAAACTATTGTTTTTAACATTAAAAAAAAAGTTTAGTTTTTTACAGTTTTTTGATGAAATTTTTTTACAAAATATAGTTACTATTTTTGAAAATTTAAAAGTTCTTGATCTAGGTTTCTACATTTTTTTTTCTCTAATAGGCGTTTTATCTGGTTTACTCAACAATATCTTTACTTTTGTAAATTATATGCTTTATTGTTTAAGCTTTTTTTTTTACACGTTTATTTCCTCCGAGTCAATAAACTATTGAAGAGACAACTCTTTTTTGTTTATTTCAAAAGTATTTACCAATCAAGATCGTTTATGGAGAAACAAGTTTAAATTAATAAAATTATTAATTCTTAGTTTTTATTGGTTTTATGATGCTTTTTATTGGTTTTATGATGCTTTTTATTGGTTTTATGATGCTTTTTGCAGGATTACTTTATTTATAAGTATTTTTTAAACTGTGTTTTTAAAAAGATTATTAAAGCAGAATTAAAAACAGTTAAGAAGATTCAAAATATTTTTAATGTTAATCTTTTGCATTTATAACTTGTTGCTTGCTTGATAATCTGTTGCGTTTTTTTTCTTTTTGTTTTTTTATGATTTATTTCAAAGATATACTTTTTGTTTTAGTATGACTTGGTTTATGGAATTTTGTTTCATATTTTATGGACAAGTCTTGTGTGCTTTAGTAGGGTTTACCGTGGAATGCACAGTTTTCATGTAAGTCATTCTTTTAGTTGATTTCAAAGGACAGATTTGTTATTATATTTTATAATTCATAATTTTCAAAATGGTTTTTAAATATTAGTGTTTTTTTTTTTGTAAATAAGAAATATTGTGAAAAGTTTTTATTATTTTAAAAATTTTAATAAATTTTAAGTTTTGAATATTTTCATAGATTGTAAACTGTTTTAATAAAAACTAAAAACAGAAATTATAATTTTTTCTCAAACTCTATATCTAACTCAATGGTTGTAAGTTCACTTTATTGGAATTAAATATGAAAACAAATTGATGTAGAAATCTAGAATAATATGTTGTTAAAAAAGTCTAAATTCTGTTAATGTGCTTGACATCAATTAAAATTTGTCTGTTAGAATTATTTTGATTTTCAAGATAATCCTAACAGACTTTGAGTTGTTTACTCCTAACCAAAATGAATAAAGTCTGTTATCTTGGTTTTTAAGATAACCGACTTTAAATTGTTTACTCCTAACCAAAATGGATAAAGTCTGTTATCTTGGTTTTCTATCAGGATTATCTTGTATTTTAATTAGCTTCTGATTCTTTAGTTAAGGTGTCCAGTACCTTTCAAATTTTGCATATGGGAAGAAACTGTCAAATTCTTGCCCATTTTTTCCCTTCAAAAGTATTATAAAATAAATGTTAATATTAAATGTTTAAAAATATATATTATTATTGTTGAAATAGAGATAAACCTCAGGCCTTGCGATGAATAAGAACTGCGTGACGCATAAGCATGACGTGATTTTTGACGTCATTAAATTCTTTTTGTTTGCTTTTCATATTTATCGACATTAACTGCACCAATTTACTTAATTACCGCAAAACTACTTTGAATCATTAATGTAGAAATGTTATTATTTAAATATGTTTTGGAATGTTTCGTTTTTTAAAATGTAAAAACATTTGTTTATTTTCTCGACGTTTGACACGTTATGTCTATACTAAACGAATAAAAAACATTATAACTAAACATTTAAAAAAGATTTTAAAATATGCTAATATTTGATTTTTTTTTTCTCAAATATGTAATTTAAAGTTTTTCAAATAAATTTTTTTCTTTTTAAAAAGTCAGCGAGTAATAAATTGGAAGTTTTAATATTGTACGATTAAAAACTGTGCAATAGCTAATATTTTTATCAGCGATTTTATATAATATTTTTTTTTTTACTTATTTTTATTTATTTTCATAAAGCGGTTGATAATCACAATCACTCGTATTACTAAAAAACTGTAACGAACGTTTTGAATAGATTTTTAATGTTTACAAGGAATTTTATTTCTAGTAAAATAAAACAAAATGTTAGAATAAAAATGTTATAGGTATAAAAGACATAATTCAGCGAAAAAATTTGCAAATTGAACAATATCTAATAAAAAGTGCGCTAAAATAAAAAAAAGAAAACATTACATGGTTAAATATGAGAACTAATTTTATTTTATAAATAAACTTTTATACTAAATTTTTTATTTTATATATAGTTCTCGAAGATTGTCGGTCAAAATATCATCTTTGCTATCAATGTCTTCATCGCTTCTTGTTTCGATTAGCGAATCATAGTCTTCTAAGCTTAGTTGAGTTTTTTTTATCAACAATAATGCATTTTCTACGCTTTTTTATGTACTTTGCGAGAGAACGCTAAATTAAATCATTGTAATCTTCTTTAGTCCAAAGACTATGGTTTCCATGAATAACAACATAATCCGCAAGCGCTTTGTGACTTAAAGAGAGTCGTTTATCAGTTTAAATATTTGTGACAGTGCTAAATGTCCTTTCTACTTGCGAGTTTGAGCCAGATATGCACATGACTAGCGATACCAGGCAACATACATTTGGAAATTCAATAATAAATTTTTTGAAAATAATTTCCCACAAACTACAAACTGGATGACATTCAAACTCAGTTCGAACTAGCAGCTTTACTTTTTTCCACTCCCTAAGAGCAACATCTCTTTGATAACCAGCGTTTTTTAATGGTGTCTCAAAATGATCGCTTATATAGTTTATTTCTTGCACTCCGGAGTCTGAATCTTCCTTTATCCAATGAATTGGGTCAATAAACTTCATACTTCTGTAAAGTATAAGCTCTCTAGAGTAGTCTTTAAATCTACTTGATAGTAACAATGAAAGTTTTGAAAGAATTGTTCTTTTAATTTGACGAATTTGCTCAATTGATTCGTTTTGAACAAAACTATTCATTTCCAGCATTACGTTAACATATGTACGATTGTCTGCATGTTTTCGTTTATCCCCAGCTTTAGCAAATGAACCTTTGACTTCACTATTGTTGGTGACCATGTAGCGGTTTATATAACTGTCCAAAAACTCGTCGTCTTTTCCAATTGATAAAATTTTGTCTTCAATCTCTAATATAGTACGATTGATTGTTGCGGGAATTTCATGAGGTAATAGCTCATTAGTTTCAAAAATTTTAGATGCAGGAATAATTAGTTCCAAACAATCAAGATATAAACCTACTTTATAAAGGAACGAGTGACACTTAAATGACCTTAACAAGCCTTTTACTTTAGATACAGTTTTTTTTATTTGTCTGTTTGCTTGCATAATTTTGGTAAGCCGTAATAAAAGCTGGCCATGTTTCTAACATATTAAAAACTCCCTTCCTCCTATGTCCAACAAATCGCGTTCCTGTTATTTTCGGTAAATTGTAATGCGTTATACCAAGGCATTTTGATGCTGCTTCAACTTCCGCTTTTAATTTACCTGAATTTCTTAATAGGTAATAATTAGCTAGATAAAATTCGTCAATGTGTGCAAAATCAGGTATCTCATTAAATGCATCTTTTTATTGCCAATTCAATTCTATGATTAATACAATGGATTTTAATTAACCAGGGACGATAAACTTTGTTGCATCTGTGACAGTACACCAATATGTGCACCAAAGTTTACGCTTGCACCATCTGCAGTCGCACATATAACTTTGTTGGTATAATGTTCTTTACTTAATCTAAATAATGATTTGTCTGATTCAAATACACTGTTTATACCAGTAGTTAATGAATTTGAATCACTACCACCAAATAGGGACATATCCAAACAACTCCGTTACCATGTAAATAGGTATTCCATTGCGGCCTGTTCGAACCAAAACTAGTACTTTTTCCTTTCCCATTTTTTCTAGCCTGACTACCATCGCTAAGAATAGAAAAAAAGTTGCACAACTTGAGAATTTCAGCACATTTTTCACGGACGACGTCTGCACAACATTTAATTATTTCTCTGCCTGTGGAACCATTTTCTTTGTGTCTTATCAAGCTTGCGCCACTTATTTTTGCACACCACACCTTAAAGATGTTCATTAAACAGTAAAAAATTATAAAAAAAGTCATTACACGTAGCCAAAGACAAAAAATTAAGTTTTATAATTTTATTTCACACATTTAAAAGCAAGTTTAAACCTTACAAGAACAGAAAAATGAGTATGAGTTATTGTTGGTCGGCACACCATTTCATAAGCAATTTTTACCAGGTAACGATAGGAATTTTCTATGGGTGTTTCTTTTAACGTCAATTGGTTGTAAAGTATACTTTTTGACGATTTTTTGGAATCATCCTGAGGTCATTTATAGAAATAATATAAATTTAGAGATAGATGTTAATGAAGTTAATTGTATATGTATTTTATAATAAAAAGTGATTTTATCCATTTTAATTTAAAAAATAAAATAACTTATTTCTTGTTTTTAAGATTTTATGCTTTAATGTGCATTAAATATAAACTGCAATTGTATTTAAATTGAAACAAATTTTCTAAATAAAACATTTTTAACCTTTATACTTTTTGCTCTTTTGTTTTCTTTGCATCCTTTATTTTCTAATTGCGTTGCATACTGGTGAGCCGTTCCTGACATGTCTTGAAACACCATTCTTTTTAATACAACTTGTGCCATTGATATACTGTAAAGTAGAAGCTTTTACTGCACCAATGATTTTTGATAAAATAGTATTTCTATGTTTAGCACACAATTTACATACGATTTTAACAACATAAGTCTTCTCATTTTCTTTGATAGTTTCGATGTGAAAAAGATCTGAAACCTTCCAACTTTCAAAAGTTTTCAAGCTGACTCTTTTGTTGTTCAAAATTCTATCCATATTTTAACTTTAAATAATTTGTTAAGAATAGGAAGAGTTTTTTATACCTTGTATATTTTTTAAAGTTTGTCTCCATTTTTATAGAAAAATAAATAGTCATTAGTAAAGTGGTTATTGATAATTTAAGGTTAATTTTTGTTTTCTAATTATTTTTGGTTGCATTAACCAAATATTATTACAAAACAAAAAGGTAATAAAAATTTATTTCATGGGTTCCACAGCGTGCGCGTACCTAAGAAAACCTCCATTGTGATATTACAGAAATGTTATAAGTGGAAGTCATGCTTGACACTTTTTTCAAAATAACGGCTAACTTGGTTTATAAATAAAAATTGTTGCGTTTTTCAATTTATTTGCCTAATGTGCTGTAGTGGATTTGTTACTAAACGTTTTGATTCAAAAATTTGCTTAAAACAATTTCTTGTCTGAATCCTTTATAATTCTTGTTAATATTTGAAGTAATGAAATAAATTATTTAAAGAAAAAAGACTCTAGCAAAGATTTGTTTTTTTTATGTATATAAATGCAAGATATTTTATACAATGAAATTCTACTAAAAAATATAACATAAAATCTACTTGCACTAACAGTAGTAGTAAAATAACTTTTTTTTTTTTTTAAGAAAAAAAATTAATGCACGTTTTATATATGTCCTCATTTAGATATATTTTATATTTTAAGTTTTATGATTACAGGTTGCAATTTAATTTTTATTTTATTTTTTACGTTTATTGAGCCTTTTTCAGGGTGTTTGTGAAAATTCGCTTTACATCGGTAGAAACTGGGAAACAAAACCAGGTTATATAAACTTATTAAACTATTGACGTTCTATTTTTCAGCAGCTGTTCTTGAGCAC